GTCAATCTAAAGTAACATTAAAAAATATTCAATAGAGGCCGGGCCGGTGGCTCATGCCTGTAATCCCAGCACTTTGGGAGGCCGAGGCAGGCAGATCACGAGGTCAGGAGATCGAGACCATCCTGGCTAAACACGGTGAAACCCCTGTCTCTACTAAAAATACAAAAAATTAGCCGGGTGTTGTGGCGGGCCCCTGTAGTCCCAGCTACTCGGGAGGCTGAGGCAGGAGATGGCGTGAACCGGTATTAAAAGTATTATGCTGAACAGAAAAAGACAATCTCAAAAGTTTATATACTGTATGAGCCCATTTATGTAACATTCACAAACGTCAAATTATCAACATAGAGAATTAGTGGCTGCCAGGGTCAGTGGGTAACGGCGCATGTGACTATAAGGAGTTAACGTAAGAGAGACAAAGATGTTTTGTATCTTGATGGTGGTGGTTTTTACACACATCTACACATGTGAAAAAACTGCACAGAACCATATATACACATAAATGAGCACAGTCAAATTGATGAAATTTGAAATAAAGTGTGTAGATCATCTATTTCCTGGTTATGATAATGTATTATATAGTTATATAAGAGGTTACCTATGAGGGAAAAAGAATGCAAGGTACACAGGACTTGTTTACTATTTTGTAACTTGCTGTGATCTATCATATTTCAAAATATGAAGGTAAATAAATGGGCAAAAGATCTGAATAGATATTTTACCTAAGAAGATAAATGAATGGCTAATAACTTTATGAGATGATCAACATCAGAATGCATTAGAGAAAAGCAAATGAAAGCCACTTCACAACCACTAGAAAATGGCTACAATCAAAGAGTGTGATGCTATCCAATCCTGTCAAGGATAAAGAGACATTAACCTTCGTATTTTGCTGGTGGGAATATAAAATGATACAGGCTATTTGGAAAACAGTGTGGTAATTTCTTAAAAAGTTAAACATGAATTTACCATTCAACCCAACAACCCAACCCTAGGTATTTACTCAAGAAAAATAAAATCACATATGTCCACATTTTTGCTCAAGACTTTTGCTCAACTGTTCATACTGTCATAATTCTCAGTAGTCAAGAGGTGGAAATAAACCAAAAGTCCATCAACTGATGAACAGTTAAACAAAACATGGTAGATCTATACAATGGACTATTACATAGCAATAGGTATGAAATAATGGTACATGTTACTAAATGGTGGATCCTAAAAACATCACGCTAAGTGAAAGCTAAACACAAAAAGCTACATACACTGTGTGTACATACATTATATATATGTACAAATGTCCAGAAAAAACTAATCTATAAAGGCAGAAGCCTCGCATGGTTGCCTGACGCTGGAAATGCGAACAAGACTGACTGCAAACAAGCACCAGGAAATCTTTGTATGGTGATATAAATCTTGTAAAATTCGGGTTGTGGTGATGGTTGTGTAACACTGTAATTTACTAAAAATCATTTATTTGTACAGTTAAAACATGTTAATTTTATGACATGTAAATTATTTCTAAATAAAACTACTTAGCCAAAAAAAAGGAAAGAAAAGAAAAAGAAAAAGGAGTGCTGAGTTATTTACACAGAAACAATGGGAAACACATACACTTACCGTAACTGGAGCTGGGACTCCACTAAAAAGCACAGGAACTTTTGTCCACATAGGTCCGATGTAATAAACACTTTTGAGGCTTGTGAATTTTTCTCTCTATAATAGATACATTAATAAAGTAACTGTCAGCACTGGTCCAAGAATCTACCACAGTAACTAACTACTAGAAGTCTTTGAGGCCAGGCGTGGTGGCTCACGCCTGTAACCCCAGCACTTTGGGAGGCCAAGGCGGGCTCCCGGGATCACGAGGTCGGGAGATCCAGACTGTATTGGCTAACACGGTGAAACCCCGTCTCTACTAAAAATACAAAATAAATTAGCAAGGCATGGTGGCGGGCGCCTGTGGTCCCAGCTACTCTAGAGACTGAGGCAGGAGGATGGTGTGAACCCACGAGGCAGGGCTTGCAGTGAGCCGAGATCACGCCACTGCACTCCAGCCTGGGCGACAGAGCAAGACTCCATCTCAAAAAAAAAAAAAAAAAAAAAAAGTCTTTGAAAAAATTCTGCAAAAAATCAAAAAACTACTTAGGTCAAGCAATAATCTTGAAGACACAAACATTTCTAAGAATTAAACTTCATGATCTTTTCAGTTCTTTGATTATGTTCTAATCGTGTTCTAAGATCCTTTCAGTTCTTTGACTATGAGCTCATTAGACAGCTTTGTTGGGGAAATCTACAATAAATTTAACAATTACTGATGAACTTTTAAATTACATATAATGTAAGCTAGCTACCTGTAAAGTAATGCAAACTAAGCTACTACTTGTAAAGTAATGCATGCAAACTTGAATTCCTATCCCTCAAAGGGTCAGATCTTTCATAATGCTATTTCTCCTATCTACCCCTCTCTCCTTCTCAGATTAGGCCTCATTCACATCTCTTTTTGAAATCACGTCTCTAATTCCCAAACCTTTCCTTCTAAAGTGCTATAGAAGGCCAGGTGTGGTGGCTCACACCTGTAATCCCAGCACTTTGGGAGGCCAAGGTGGGTGGATCACCTGAGGTCAGGAGTCCGAGACCAGTCTGACCAACATGGAGAAACCCCGTCTCTACTAAAAATACAAAATTAGCCAGGCGTGGTGGCACGTGCCTGTAATCCCAGCTACTCGGGAGGCTGAGGCAGAAGAATCACTTGAACCTGGGAGGGTTGTGTTGAGCCGAGATCGTGCCATTGCGCTCCAGCCTGGGCAACAAGAGTGAAACTCCGTCTCAAAAAATAAACAAATAAAGTGCTACAGAAGACCCATAAATCTAATAAATAAGAATCTATAATATATTCAACTTACAAATAAGTTTAAAGAAAAACGATTTTTAATTGTAGGATACTTTTATTTTATATATGAGAAACAAACCAGAGACTACTTCAACATTGTATCCACATCTTTACTTTCTTCAGACTACCTATCCCCCATTCCATTCTCTCTAAGAGGATGCATTTGCCTTATATTTCAGATAAAACGAGGCTCTAAGCTTTGAGCTCAACCTCCTGCCTTACGTATCTGATCAACCTTCACTTCTTTATCCCAAGCCTAATCTCACCACTTGTGCACCTTTCTGGTTACTTGTTCCATCAATCACTTCCTCTCATCTGCATTTTCAGTGCTTTCCCTTGAGTATAGTCCATTTGCCTACTATTTCACATTAAAAGTCTTAAAATGTAAAATGGACTCAACATTCGAGTATATAAAAGACCTTGTCAATTTGACTGGATATAAAACTTATATTGTGGTCAAGTAAGAAAATATTGGGGGTCGGGGCCACAGTGGCTCACACCTGTAATCCCATTACTTTGGGAGGCAGAGGCAAGCAGATTGCTTGAGCCCAGGAGTTTGAGACCAGTCTGGGCATCACGGCAAAATCCCTTCTCTACAAAAATTACAAAAAATTAGTTTGGCATGGTGGTGTGTGCCTATAGTCCCAGCTACCTGGGAGGCTGAGGTGGGGGAATCACCTGAGCCCAGAAGGCCAAGGCTGCAGTGAGCTGTGATTGAGTAACTGCACTCCAGCCTGAGCGACAGAGTGAGACCTTGTCTCAAAAAAAGAGAAAAAGAAAATACTGGGGCAAGACGTCATGAAAACTAATTCTATTACAGTTCAGCAAAAACAAAACTCTCCTTGACCGAGACTCCCTCTAATTTTGTATCTTCAATCCCACTCAAAGGCAAACTCCTTAAAATAGTCTGTATGCCTATGTTCATTTTCTCAGTCCCCATTTACTTTTTCTACCCCACTTTCCCCCGCCATCCTCCCAGCTTAAAATGCTCTGGCCAAGGTCACCAAGGAACCCACTGCCACCCAGGCACCTCCTCTCTGGGTTCAACTCTCAGGGCCACACTTCACCAGTACCTGGCAGTACTGGTATCTCCATATTCTTGAAATGCTCTCTCTTTTATGTGTTCTGTATTTCCTGCTCCTTCTCCCATCTGACCTCTTTTGCTTTGTCTCTCTGTGCCAGTTTTGTCTCTTTCCATTCCCCAAATCTTAAGTTTCCAGGACTTCAGTTCCTAGCCCTCTTCTAATTCTACACCACTGGATTTTTACTATTAGGAGGCCACAAATCCCTTTGAGAATCTAAGGAATGTTAAAACCCTCTCCTTGGGAAAAGGTCTATATACTACATGTACACACAATTATTGAATACAATAATTCTTCAATTCTAGTCCAATTCTCTTACCTCAATCACCACTTATGAGCTGACAATTCCACATTTATTGTTCTGCTCTTTCTCAAACTTCCAACACACTTATAAAGTGCCTTCTTACCTCTGTCATCAAATAGACCAGAGGCCGAAAGGACAATCAGTAATCTCTCAAGCCTCCTTTTTTTTTTTCTTTTTCTCCCCCCGACAGTCTCACTCTGTCACCTGAGCTGGAGTGCAGTGGTATGATCTTGGCTCACTGCAACCTCCAACTCCCGGGTTCAAATGATTCTCTCACCTCAGACTCCAGAGTAGCTGGGACTACAGATGCACGCCATCACACCTAATTTTTGCATTTGTAGTAGACATGTGGTTTCACCACGTTGGCCAGGTTGGTCTTGAACTCCTGAGCTCAAGTGATCCATCCGCCTCAGCCTCCCAAAGTGAGTGATTACAGGTGTGGGCCACTGCGCCTAGGAAGCCTCCACTTCATTAGCCTTTTCCCTCCCTCTGCACAAACCAGAGTGGGAGTACTTATAATTCCCTAAACGCACCACGCATTCACCAGCACTTTTGTTCTGATCTCAGCTGCCATCTGTGGCCTTTCCCAACTTACCTGCCTAGAAATACCGATTCATCTTTCAAAGCCCTACCAGCAAAAGTAGTCCCTCCGGTGTCACCATCCTTCAGCCTCTTTTGAGGACAGGGACAGTGAGTTATTAGATTAACTAGCATATACATTGGCATATAAGTTAACACATAAATTATTAAAGAGAATATAAAAGAAGAAAGGTCACCCAGAACAGAGATCTAAGCTATGTTTCCCAAAAAGTAAAGCTGGCACTCAACTAATATGAACATAAAACTTAGGAAACGTGCTAAAATTTCCTCATTGATAGAAATTGTTTCTCCCGGCCGGGTGCGGTGGCTCAAGCCTGTAATCCCAGCACTTTGGGAGGGCGAGACGGGCGAATCACGAGGTCAGGAGATCGAGACCATCCTGGCTAACCCGGTGAAATCCCGTCTCTACTAAAAAATACAAAAAACTAGCCGGGCGAGGTGGTGGGCACCTGTAGTCCCAGCTACTCGGGAGGCTGAGGCAGGAGAATGGAGTGAGCTGAGATCTGGCCACTGCACTCCAGCCTGGGCTACAGAGCGAGACTCTGTCTCAAAAAAAAAAAAGAAATTGTTTCTCCCTAGAACAAAAAACACCTGAAATCTGAGAGATCATTACTATAAAGGAAGAAATATCAGATGACAAAATAATATCTTTATGATGACTATTTTTTTTGAGATAGAGTCTCACTCTGTCACCAGGCTGGAGTGCAGTGGCACGATCTCAGCTCACTGCAACTTCCACCTCCTTGGTTCAAGCAATTCTGTCTCAGCCACCTGAGTAGCTGGGATTACGAGTGTGCACCACTACATCCAGCTAATTTTTGTAGTTTTAGTAGAGACAGGGTTTCACAATGTTGGCCAGGCTGGCCTCGAACTCCTAAGCTCAAGTGATCCACCTGTTTCAGCCTCCCAAAGTGCTAGGATTACAGGCATGAGCCACTGTGTCCGGCCTATGCTCACTTTAATATCATTAATATCCTCTGTTGAAACTGAGGTGGCCTTAATACATATCTCTATATATTTTTACATATATTAATAACTGATTATGGCCGGGCGCAGTGGCTCACGCCTGTAAGCCCAGCACTTTGGAAGGCCGAGGCGGGCGGATCACCAGGTCAGGAGATCAAGACCATCCTGGCTAACACGGTGAAACTCCGTCTCTACTAAAAATACAAACAAAAAAAAAATTAGCCGGGTATGGTGGCGGCACCTGTAGTCCCAGCTACTCCGGAAGCTTAAGCAGAAGAATGGCGTGATCCTGAGAGGCGGAGCTTGCAGTGAGCCTACATTGCCCCACTGGACTCCAGCTTGGGCAACAGAGCAAGACTCCGTCTCAAAAAAAAAAAAAAACAACTGATCATATTAAAAGGAAACTTTAAACAAAATGCCATATATTTCCCAAGACTTTTAGCAAGATTTTTCTTTGAATACAATAATATATACAACGAACCTTATATTAGTCATCGTTTCTGTCCACAAATGGTCAATACACAGTTCAGGAACAATTGGCTCAGTTTCTGGTGCAAGAAATGAGCCATTAGAATTACTGTTTGGAGAATGAGAGATACTGTGTCTCTTTGGAGACTGATTATGGCTTGAAATGTTGAACCTTTGCACCCCTGAAAAAGAGTGCACTCCTAAGGCAGGAGAATGAGCACGACTGCAAAATAAACAGAGGACAGAGTACATCACAGCAGGGCAGGCTTCTATGACACACACTCCAATGACACTTCCCAAAATTCCACGGACAGAAGAGCATTCATGGCATAATCCAGGTCAGAAATTAAAATTTTTCAAAAAGGAGTAGCTATTTAAATGGTTTATGTCAATGTGCTTTACTATATTCCAAAGATTTAGAATTCTTATTAGAACTCATCTTTTAAAACTAAAACTTAGATCATCTTCTTTTTCAGAAAATGAACTGATTATTCAAAAAGCTCTAAACTATGTCCCTGTAAAGTCAGACATATATATATATCAACAAAACAATGTTCCTGCAGCACCAGACATAGAGAGCTGGTGATTTAAACATATATCTATATAGAGGACAGATACATTTAGGTACCAAATAACAAAGAAAAAGAAAAAAGAAAAACGAACAGAAATTAAGGCAAAAGTAAAATAGTGCCACAATATTTTGGGAATTAATATTCATCAAACTGTTGCCCACACAGTGGTAGAAATGAGGCAACTAATCTTAGGACGAGCATAGGCAGCTTCAAAATATGACTCAGGAAAGAATGTGGCAGCTTCAAATACGACTCAGGAAAGACACATTCGAAAGAATGTGGCATGGTAAACTTAGCTATCTTAGTAAAAGTGGCTCAGGGCTGGGCGCAGTGGCTCACGCCTGTAATCTCAGCACTTTGGGAAGCCGAGGCGGGCGGATCACAAACTCAGGAGATCGAGACCATCCTGGCTAACACACTGAAACCCCGTCTCCACTAGAAATACACAAAAACAAACAGGCGGGCATCGGTGGCCGGCGCCTGTAGTCCCAGCTGGAGGCTGAGGCAGGAGGACAGTGTGAAGCCGGGAGGTGGGGCTTGCAGGAGCCGAGATCGCACCCACTGCACTCCTGGGTGACAGAGCGAGACTCCACCTCGAAAGAAAAAAAAAAAAAAAAAAAGTGGTCAGTTCAATGGATGAATGGCTATTTCCCTATAAAAAATATTCTCCCCCTAAATATATTTCCCCTAAAAAAAGCTGTCAACAAGAAATTCTAAATCCTTCAAAACAAAAGAGAGAAAGGCTTAAAAGAAAAACCAGGAAGACCCTTCTACCCTTAGAGCTGCCATGTTGGAAATAGTAAGGTGAGCGAGGGAAATGGTAGACTGGGTGATTGAAGGCTTGAGCGACTTTGATGGAATGGAGGGGAGTAATTCTAAGGAAAGGGTGAGGTCACAGGGGAATTCTCCTTTGAGGAGGCTTCTGAGATGCTGTGAGGGAGCGCTAGTGGCCACATTCTGTGGGTTCACCCCTTGTTTCAGAGAAACTTTAAACACAACATTTCTTCTTAAGTCAAAATAAAGAGAAAAAGGAAAAAAGAAAGGACAAAATTAGAATAGCAATTTCTTTGTAAGAATGCAAGCTGAAGTCAGTTACTAAAGATACAGTATTTCTTCTTTTCTAAGAAGCTCAATCTGTTTCTCAAATGAGGCCAGGTGCAGCGGCTTACATCTATAATCCCAGCACTTTGGGAGGGTGAGGCAAGAGGACAGCTTGAGCCAAGGAGTTCAAGACCAGCCTGGGCAACATAGCAAGATGCCATTTCTACAAAAAATTAAAAATTAGCTGGGAGTGGTGGTACACACTTGTAGTCCTAGCTACTCAGAAAGCTGAGGCAGGAGGATCACTTCAGCCCAGGAGTTCAAGGCTGCAGTGAACTATAATTGTGCCATTATACTTCAGCCTGGGTGACAGAGTGAGGCCCCATCTCTAAAGATGATGATGTGATGATGATGATGATGATGATGATGACAATAATAATAACAATAAAACAACTATTCACAAGTGATTTTTCCAAAAAAAAAAAAAAAAAGTGAGGGTATGAAGTATTAACTATTCTTTCCTATACATATACATATATATATATATTTTTTTTTTTTTTTTTTTGAGATGGAGTCTCGTTCTGTCACCCAGGCTGGAGTGCACTGGCACGATCTTGGCTCACTGCAACCTCCACCTCTCAGGTTCAAGTGATTCTCCTGCCTCAGCCTCCCGAGTAGATGGGATTACAGGAGCCATCACACCTGGCTAATTTTTTATATTTTTGGTAGAGATGGGGTTTCACCATGTTGGCCAGGCTGGTCTTGAACTCCTGACCTCAAGTGATCAGCTCACCTTGGCCTCCCAAAGTGCTGGCACTACAGGTGTGAGCCAATACACCCGGCCTATCCCTTCCTATTAAGGAGAAGTGACTTGCCTTTCTCCTTACCTCTGATTTGACTCTCCGGAGAGTCCACACAGAATGCACATTTTGAACAGCATCGTAAGTCATTACAATAGAGGGGTCAGTATTGAGGAAAACAATTTTCATTGCATGATCTACAACATATTGCACCCGTGATGAACCAAAAATACCTTAAAAATAAAATAGAAAAATCAGGTATAGAACAATGGGCTTTACAAGACTGATATTGATAAACAGAGCTCTTAAAATTGTTAAAGAACAACCAAGCCAAAGAGAGCACAAAATCTATTAATATCTTAAATAATTAACTTATTTAATAAATTTACTTTAGGCATCAACTTCCTTAAAATACATTAAAGATGAGAGTATTACAAGTTTCAGCTTCACATACATGCTGTTAAATGTTAAGACTTGTGCTGACTCTCACCATTAAATGAATCAGCCACAGGTAAAAGGTCGATGACTTCTTCAACAACTTACTTATTTATAAATTGCATTCAACTCTTCTGTCAAGTTTGACTTCCTTATTGGTTCTGTTCTTCTGTATGAAAGCTGTACTCTATAATTACTATTCAGACAGTGCTGAACAGTACACTGTTGTTGCTGCTTTACTAGTTACACATGCAAAACAAGGTTTTTCCCAGTGAGTTCAGCTTTTAATCTAAAGTACCGTGGACTGGTCTCCATATCCTTATTTAACAGGAAATGTTTCCCACTCAGTTAAAATATTGAAAAATTTAAAAATATGATTTTATAATCATAAGAAATACTTTATAAATAAAAATCATGCCACCATATCAAAATATCTACTATTAATACATCAGAGAATTTTTGGTTTTCTTCATACATATATACACACTTTATACATTTTTACAAAATTATAATCACACTGTGTTAAAGTTTGGTATCCTACTTGACATTACAAATAAGCAACTTCTAGTTAACTAAATGTTATTCAAAAATATGATCAATAATGGCTGCACTCCTCTCTCCAGTCCATGCCTCCAAGATGACAAAGAAAAGAAGGAACAATAATTGTGCCAAAAAGGGGCGCAGCCACGTGCAGTCTATTTGTTGCACAAACTGTACCCTCCCAGAGAAAAGTAAAATGGAAATTGTACTTAAAAAAAAAAAAAAAAGGCTGCATGCCATTTAATCCAGGCCCTAGTATGTTTATTCAGAATGTCTGCAATTAGTAAAATATAAAATTGAATTTTTTCTGTAAAAGATCAAAGACTAAATAGTTTAGTTTGCTGTCCACGTATTGACTCTATCACATAATCTTTGTTATTTCTACAACCCTTTAAAAGGTAAAAAGCATTCTTATGGTGTGTGCGGTGGCTCACGATGTAATCTCAGCACTTTGGGGGAGGCCGAGGCGGGTGGATCACCTGAGGTCAAGGAGTTCAAGACCAGCCTGACCAACATGGTGGAAACTACGTCTCTACTAAAAAATAACAAATTAGCTGAGTGGTGTGGCACATGCCTGTAATCCCAGCTATTTGCCAGGCTGAAGCAAGAGAATCGCTTGAACCCGGGAGGCGGAGGGTTGCAGTGAGCCAAGATTGTGCCATTGTATTCCTGGCCTGGCGACAAGAGCAAAACTCCATCTCAAAAAAACCATTCTAGTTCACAAGCTTTACAAAAACATGCTGCAGGCCAGATTTAGCCATGGCCTGCAGTTTGCCCAGATAAGTAATAGAAAGATAAAAAGCAGCTGGTTGGTCACAGTGGCTCAACGCCCTTGTAATCCCAGCAACTTTGGGAGGCCGAGACAGGTGGATCACCTGAAGTCAGGAGTTCGAGACCAGTCTGGCTAACATGATGAAACCCCCGTCTCTACCAAAAATATAAACATTAGCCAGGCAATGTGGCCATGTGCCTGTAATCCCCAGCTACTCGGGAGGCTAAGGCAGGATAATCACTTGAACCTGGGAGCAGGGGTTACAATGAGACTGGAGATCGCCCCACTGCACTCCAGCCTGGGTGACAGAGCAAGATTCCGTCTTGGGAGAAAAAAAAAAAAAAGTAAAAGCCAGTGAAATTTCAGAGTATGTACTCAGAATAAAGTCCTAAAATAAAAATGTCAAAGAATATAATTTTTTTTCACCTTCAAGTCTCATTGTCTAATGTTGGGCCCAAACTTAAAAATTTAGAGATAAGCATGGTAGAAATATTGTAGGAGGCTGAGGCAGGGCGGTTCACTTGAGGTCAGGAGTTCAAAGATCAGACTGCCCCAACCATGCAAAAATCATGTCTCTACTAAAAATACAAAAACAGCCAGCATGTTAGCACAATGACTAGCATGACTACAGACAGCTACTTGGATGAGGCACAAGAATCCCTTGAACCCCGGGGAGGCAGAGGTTGCAGTGAGCAAGATCGCACCACTGCACTCCAGGCTGGCAAAACAGAGCGAGACTCCGTCTC